GGTAGAGGAAAGACTTTGTTGTATTTTCTTTATAAAACCATCAGATCTAAGAGATAAGTTGCGTCATTATGTTGCAGCATCTAAAGATATTACTCCTCAGTATAGCACATTAGTGGGAAATTTTGTGTATCAAACTTAGAAAGTTACAAGAACCTCAAACCAGAGTTTCTGCACTACAGTTGACATTTGAAGGGAAACTTATGACTTTGGAATTTCTTTTACATACGACCTGTTAAATTTATTCCAATAATCATTGAGAGTAGCATGATATTAGAGATGGTTATGATATAAGATAAAATAAGCCCCACATTATTATGAACAGGACAAACACAAAAATTGTTACATGACGTTTCTTGTTTATGTATTCAATACATTATCCATGTACAGGTGTTATCATAGACCACACATTTGAAGTCCTTAAAAAGTTCTGAATAGAAAAGATATGTTGTGGAGATCTCCAACATATTGCTACAGAAGTGTGACATAGGCCTTTGGGCCATCGCAGCAAGCATAGCAAATTGTGCTTCAATTTTAGTAGCTGCACAGTCTAAAGTCGTAATCAAATATTTTAAGAAAAGTCAGACTTATTAAAGTGTCACATAGCCAATCAATTGCTGAAGGTAGTTTAACACCAATTTCTGCCTTTTTCATGCAAACAAGATGCTTTAGAAGACTTTAGACTTTAATTGGTGTAGCACTAAGAATTTTGTAGAGCTGCGGTAAATCTAAAGGTAATGTTGCAAAGTCCTGTCAGAGGTGTGTGCAGCAATTTGTATAACGCTATGGGCGTATTTAGAATTTGGAAGAGATGGGTGTTGAGCGGTACGCAAAGTGCACCACGATTTTGACCACACCACTTTTCTTTGCGCACAAAATGGGCATGTATTCTAATATGATGTTACGCCAATGGAGTAATTAGACAATTTGACCTTGGATGTGATCGTGACCATGGTAATTTTTTTAGCTTAAAATATCTAAGAGCTAGTAACTCAAAGCATGAGACATCTGCAGCCTTCTGGGATGCCTACAGGCAAACTCATCTATAGCAGATTGGAGAACCACTTCAATATCCCTAATAACAAGGAGAAGAGTCAGGTTTGTGAGCCTAGTAGTTGTCATTGAGGAGGGAATAGATGTTTTTGTCCTCTTTAGGCTACAAAATGATCGTTCTGCTGAACAGGTCGTGACAGGTAGTGTTGCCAAAATTGTCAGAAGAACTTTGATGTTAGGATACATTTCACTTGTCTTTAGGAAGTGTACTTTTAGGCCGGTCTGGAAGACCGGCATTTCCATAGTTCGTAGAATGCTACTGCCACTTATCTTTCCATGTTTCTATGTCAGTGGTAAAACATTCTGGAGATGAAAGGTCTTCTTTGTACATCTCTGCTAGTTTAATACAGCTTTCTTCAAATCAATCAGAGGACATAGAAATCATTGCTGAAGGTATGCGGCAAAGACCAAGTAATGCTGTTTTGTGGAGCCTAGTTGTCATTTCAGCAAGAAGATGATCGACAATTGGTATGGAGATAGTGCGTAGATAGTACTGTGATTGTGAGTAAGCAGGAACATTGCTACATTATGTTTGACGACGACATATGCGGTAACTATTGCTGCTATAGTACATTGCTTCTCTATACTACTGTACCATTTAGAGTTGTACCTTTTGATGATGTTCAGGATAGTTGTCACTAATACATCATTCTCTTTCACTGGATTGATGATGTCAATGGTTTTACCGTGCAAGAAAACTGTTAATGAGTGAAGATATTGGAGACAGGAGTTAGTGATTACAAGGGGAGAAAGAAAATCTGATGTGCTGATAGCTACTTGGAGACCATGAGCATCAGTGACATAGTCTGCTGTCAATAATTGTGGTCTATGGTATCTAAGCAACTTTATGTTAACTCATAGAGTGATAAAAAATGGATAATGCATCAAGTCGTTAAATCCAATGAGTACGACAAAGATCTTTCAGCGTACGAACACTAGATTCAGGTTAAGTGGTGGAAATAGCTTGTTTTAATTCTTGTTGTCTCTTTGGGTGAGAATCAAAGAACTGGTAAATTTAAAAAATGATGTTCATCATATTATGGATACAGGCTACTTCAAGTGATTTCACAGCAGCTAAGTTGAGGCAGTGAGAAGCGCAATGGAGATAAAGAGCCTGAGGATAATCATGGCTTATGATAGCAGCTGTTCCATTAACTGAACCAGTCATAGTCCCTGCTACGTCATAAGCCTGTCCTCTCAGATAAAAAAGATCAAGGCCAAAGCTTCTGAGAGTTGTGGTGATCTTCTCAGCTATATTTCTTCCTCTTATACCACTGTGACACTCAAAAAATCCCAGTAAATCTTCACGAATAATACAAGACTCACTATCCCAATATCTCACATAAAAGCTTATTATCTCTTCATTAGACACATCTGTCACTTCATCAGCTATAATTGAGAACCATTTAGCTGCTTGTACCTTCCTTATAATCTTGTTACGTATATGATTAGAGACAACATCAATTATCTGGTTCTGAATTACTGAAAATGTGTATGTAGCGTTTTGAGCAGCTTTTGTAAGATGGTCTTTAAGCAATGTATCACCAGATTTAATCCGAAACTGAAGGAGAGCTAGAAAAGTACCATGATTATGCCACCCAGTAATATCCTTCTCAAGATCAGTGATATTATCACGGTGGCCACGCAGATGAATATTT